AAAGTTGTACTACAAAGTCGCCAGTTCTCATCTTCCAGCTCCCCAGAGACTCCGCGTGCTCAAGTTGTACTACAAAGTCGCCAGTTCTCAGCTTCCAGCTCCACAGATTGCTCCGCGTACTGAAGTAGCACTAGAAAGTCGCCAGTGCCTGCATTTCGCGCACTCGACACGCACGACCTCTGCAGAGGGTTGCGCGCACACCGGACAAATCGCACTCTCACCTGCATTTCGCGCACTCGACACGCACGATCTCCGCAGAGGGTTGCGCGGGCACCCGGCGAATCGCACTCTCGCCTGCATTTCGCGCACTCGACACGCACGATCTCCGCAGAGGGTTGCGCGCGGACCGGACAAATCGCACTCTCGCCTGCATTTCGCGCACTCAACACGCACGATCTCCGCAGAGGGTTGCACTTTCGGTTGACGCTGTTCGTCCCACCCTCCGCCTTTAAGAGAGAATTTATAAAGTGGGGAAATGTTTTTTCATTAGGACATCTCCCGTGCTAGTTCACTTGCCTACTCATTGCATGCTTGCTTACTCATTGCATGCTTGCATACTCATCACTTGCATACTTACACTTGCATACTTTGACAGCTTTCGCTCTTCCACTTACACAGGGCTACGTGTGTTTAAGTGTGGTGAAAGTGTCAATGTCTAAGTGTGTCTAAGTGTAAGTGTCCAAGTGTCAGTGTTCAAAGGATTTTCCGGAAGAACCCTTCGCAATGCTTTCGGGAAAAAAGTTAAAATAGAATTAGGTAAGCTTAAATTAGAAGATTTCAATCAAGATCCTTTTAACATTGATTGTGGAAATTGCTATTTATTAGGTATTAGATTGCAATAAAAATCCTTTCCAAGTTCTCTTTAAAACTCATTGTGGAAACTAGTTCTTACAAAAATTAGATTTTAGTTAAAGCCCTTTTCAATCTTAGTGGTGGCTTTGATTTAATATCAGATTGTTTTTAAAATCGATTTAAGATTAATTGTGGAAATTGTGATGCTTAACTAATTTGAACTGATTTTGTATCTGTTTGCTCCCCACTACAAGGCAACATCACATAAAAGGACCTTAACTAACATCTAATTATAAGAATTGATTTCCACCATTATCTGTTAACTCAAAATTAATTTCCACAATCAATTCTAAAAGGGTTTTGATTGATATCCAACGCACAAGCAATTCAATCAAATTATGTTGAAAAGAAATTCAACTAACATCTAAACAACAAGCAATTTCCACAATGATTGTGAAAAGGACTTTAATTGACATTTAAGTAATGACTAATTTCTACAATGAAATATAATAGGCTTTTAATGGAAATCTAATTCAAAATCAATTGCCACAATGATCTTGAAAAGGAATTTAATTGAAGTTGAATTACACATTCATTTTTCTATAAATATATAATTTTGAAGAAATGTTAGTTGAAATCTAATAATGAAACTTAGTTTGTAAAAAATCAACAATTAATCTTACACACATTTTTTATAGAAAGCCAATGGGAAATCAACTTCCACCAATAATTCTGAAAGCGTTTTAATTGAAGTCTAATACCAAAATCAATTGAAATCCAATTTAAAATCAAATTCCACCGTTAAACTTAAATGAAGCAAAAACACTGTGTTTTACAGTGGTTTCTTGCAAAATCCTCTCCAAAATTGAGGTTTTGAGCTATTTTTTAATCAATTTTGTGAGATCCAAGCCTATCCCAATTTAGATGGAATACAAAAAACAAAAACAAAGCACCAAAGAAACAAAAAAACACCAAAAAAAATAGAACCCAAAAAAAAACAATGGTTGACACAAAATGCAGCCAACATCCAAAAACCAATAGTGACCCCATTTTGTCTCAAACAGTGGTTTCTTGGTTTTCTGGTATTCCCCCTAAATTGGGATAGGCTTGGATCTCACAAAATTGATCAAAAAATAGCTCAAAACCTCAATTTTGGACTGTAAAACACAGTGTTTTTGCATCATTTTTTGCATGAAAAACATCTCCCAGGAGCATCCGTTCTGTATATTTTTGGATATTGGGCAGAGCCTTCTTCTGTGCTTCCAGACCCCCCATCCGCATGTTTGACAGCAAAGATTATATAGATGCGTCCACGCCCCCTTGCACTGAAGGCTAAGGGTGGCCCGGTTGTAAGGTCAGCAAATCTTGGATGTTGAAGAATGCCCGATTGGCCAACAGGTTTATCATGCGCAAATATCACGCAAAATGGGCGCAATCAGTTCCAGAGTCTAACTTCTGGGCAAACTCTGGTTGTCAAGCCTCCAGCTTTCCATTGCCACCCAAATTTGTGGAGGATGACATGTCCGGGACTGTCAAGAACATGCCCATTTTTCACAGCAGGGGCACCACAGTGGGCCACGCGGTCCGCCAGATACGAGACCACCCCTGCAGACAGCATGGGCGCGTATTTTTCTAGCAAGGGCAGGAAGCTGTGCCTCAGCCGGCGCTGGGAAGGCGGGAAGGCTGTGAAGCGAGACAAAAAGAACATCCAAGGGAAAATTCGCGTGCATACACCCGCATACACACACATACATACATACATACATACACCCGCACAAAAAGACATCCACGCACATACACTTACACACATACGCTCGCACTGTAGCATGAATTTGTGCCAAGAAGTAGTTTGATGTATGGGACGGGATAGGAAAACCAGTCTGTAGTCGTGTTCAAAAAGGCGCGGTTTGTGTGGCCCACGCTCAGTGAACACATGCGAGCATCATCCAGGCAATTTTTGTTTCGGATTGGAAATTCCAACGCTTGGCCTTCCCTTCCAGGCATCCTGCTTGAGTCAGGGCATGAAGTACCAGTTTGCCACTGGCAACTGGGGCCAGGACAGGGCGGCATGAAACGATTCAATGTGCTGGCTCACATGGCACGGGGAACAGGAAACAATACATTTTGCATGTCATGCATGTTACAAAGTTTGGATTGATCGCTCAGCCTTTAACTACACAATCTATTGCAATGTGTTCGCTCGAAGCATGAAATCTCGGACGCTTTGGAGGTTCTTGTGTTTTTGGTGACAGACGACTGAGCAAACTGTTTCCAACCAAGTAACCTCACATACCACACGTTTAAAATGTTTTGATGACAAGGTGTCATGCCCGCTGACGGGATAGACGTTTCCTTCAGTCAACACACAAAGAAAAACATGTTAACATTGTTAATTTGTGGGCATGGCCTTCAATACTAATGCTGCTGAAAGTGGCTATTGTTCAAAATGCAAGACCCGAGAACCCTTCGCGGTTTCGTCGATGATGTGTCCGTTTGCTTGTGTTTTTGAAGTATGCCCTACTATCAATATTCAAGCAGGTTCTGCAACAGACAGAGTTGTAATGTTTGTCGAAATGTTTGGACTTCCACCACACAGCACAGGGGTGCATACCTTGATGAAAATGTATTCATAGAACAAATTACAAACAAAACGGACAAGAGACGGATTGACAGGTTCGTTCACTCTGTTCACTCCCCTTACAAGCCCATGGAAAAGAACAAGAGGAACGGCCGAAGCGCCGAACTGGCCTAGATTCAGTGCCTCGCAGAACATGAAACGTATGAATAGATCAGATAGAATCAGATAGATAAATAGAATTGTTTGATTATTTTTCTACACCACATTGTTGGGTGTTTGCCTTTGTCGGTCATATAGTTATATAATGTTATATACATATTTACCAAGCTGCAGTGCAATTGTTCAGGATAAATCTGGGAAGCCAGTGAATGACTCAGACCAATCTACGAAGGCGTTGAAGCCATGAAGTGGACGGGAGAAACCACTCACTGATGGAGAACTTTGTGAGGATTTGTCAGGGAGCGTGAGATCATTTCTGCAAACGTGTGAGTAACAATCGAGGTTCGGACTGGAATCTCGCAGGGTCTCAATCGGCTAACCTTCATGGCCACTTTGTCCCATTTGAGGCGCTTGCTTTGCTTTGCGTGTTTTATACTGGAGTGGCATTTCTCCGCAACATATCTTCAGTGTCACAGAGCCGCCATTTGATCGTGAAGGGTGTCCCTTTCAACTGAGGACAAGTTGACATACGTGCATTTGTCATAGAAGGACCCCTTTTGCTGGTCAAAAGTTTACGGTTCCGAACGCCTTGGACTGTCGGAAGACGACACAACCAGGCGCATGATCACACCTTTGGCTCGCTCTGGGAAGCTGGTGAAGCCGAGGTAGGACACCGCTTTCTTGCCAGTGAATACTGGAACTTTCAACACACTACATCACTACAGTATGTGCATCAATAGTTACACTAGTTGTAAACATGGCACCCAGCCGCCAACAGGAATTCGTATCCAGCTATTGTCAAGGCAATGCTTGTTGTCATCTCACTCTCACAATAATGGAGGTTCCAATGTGTTCTCACTCTCAAGATTTGTGAGTGGATTCTGCAAAAAGCCAACCACCTCTCACCTCCTGCACCAGTGTTGATAGCGACCTGGCCAAAGGATGTGCAAAAGGAAGATTTGCGCAAGCTCACTAGAAAACCTTGAAAGAAAAGCCTAAAATCAGACGCTTGTAGTTTGGGAAACGACAAGGTTGTGAAATCACGAAAGCTAGCATGAGGTAGCTGTTTTGCTTTGGCCTCAATTATTCTGATTAACTTGTGAAATAGAACTATGAAAAGGATTGAAAAGATATTTCACACCTAAGAATTGCTAACTTTGTACTGTAGCATCTCTACAATGAACATCAATTTGTCCATTGAGTTGTATTGTAGAAAACTGCGTTCACTGCTGCCGCAACCACACTTGTACGTCATTGACATACTTTCCAACCCAACATGCCCTCCGAGATGATAAAGGCTGTTGACTCCCCCTGCTGCAACATTGGTGTTTCATTTGACTGCAACTCCAGCTCACACCTTTGTTTCCACCAACCCCAAAACGGCATCCCTTGCAGGGCAAAGCTTTGTGTCCACATTGAATTGCCAGGCAGCTTCACAATACCCATTGGGGGTTGGTTTGTCCTGCGGAAACACCTGAAGGGCAGGCTGGAGAAGAATTGCGAACATGCGGCTGATTGCTCAAAGATGCTCAAAGTGCCAATTTATTGAATTCGAGGCAGTGGGGCTTGTGAAGAACATCTCCTTGATGCTTTGTGCTGAGTTCTTTGAGAGATTGTGTTCCGAAGCAGCCAACACGCATAGCGGGTATGGACAAGGTGCTGGATTACACTGGGGTCGGCTGGCAGCCTGGAACAATACCGGCTTGCTTGAGTAGCAAGCCGCTGAATCTCTCCGAGGCACAAAACATCATCGAGGATTTCCTCGACGAATGGGGCGTTTTGCACTTGGTTCGCACTGCGTAGGATTGCACGTGATAATGCCCTTGCAGGCAACTGTGTTTGTCAGACCCTGTTCCAAAGGGCACTTACACACTTTAGTTCAAAAATGCACCGTTCTTCCTACGTTGCCCAACGAAGCTACGAAAGTTCTGTGGAAGAGTTCATGGACACATGAACATTCGATGAGGTAAACCATATTTCCTGCTTCCGCGCCTGTCCATTGCAGGTTTATGAGCTTCCGCTGGTCCGCTGAAAAGATCCGCCACCGCAATCATACCTTACAACATCTTACAACCAACACTGTTTTCTACGTCAGCTCGTTGTTACGCTTTTCTGTGACATTGTCTTCGTATTTCTTACCTCGCCGTAAATCTCCGCATACAGTTTCGCAAAGCCACCGCTACCGTCAATATA